TACAACCCCTCAGATCACCATCCTCATCTCCTCATGCTGCACAGCACTACAACCCCTCAGATCACCATCCTCATCTCCTCATACTGCACAGCACTACAACCCCTCAGATCACCATCCTCATCTCCTCATGCTGCACAGCACTACAGCCCCTCAGAGCACAGCCTCATCTCCTCATGCTGCACAGCACTTAGCATAAACCACCCCTCAGATCACCAGCCTCATCTCCTCACGCTGCACAGCAGTTAAAATAAACCAATATTGATCCAACTGCCTTGTCCTTCAGGGCCTTTGCAGGCTTTACCAGAGGTTACGCTATTGGATTTTTTTTTTTCATGAAAACTCTGTTTTGCTGCTGCAGTGACTGAAATGTAATGGATTTGTAATTTAGTTCTTTATTAATTGTAATTTCCTTACAGGAAATTCCATTAAATTTGTTATTTTAGTAAAAGCAAAAAAAAAAAGCACAAAAAAAACCCAAGCCAACCTGAGAATCTGAACTATTGTCTGGGAGGCCTGTAAGAGGCATTTCTTCCTTTGAAATGCATGTGTGTTTTAGTTCTCGTGGGATCTGAGCAGCGTGGCTAATGCCTGGTGTATTGTAACCCCATTAATGTCTGCTGGGGAGAGACAGAGATGCTTGTAGGAATTACAGAAGGAACACTTGAAAAGCAGATAAGTCCACATTGCCACAGTGCATTGTGCTTTAATAATCTCCTTTCAATATCATAAAGTGAAAAATCAAGCATGAAAATATGTGGAATTATAAACATAATTTAATGCATAGTATTTAATTTCACTTCATTAATTTATTAATAGAGTTTAAATTAAATCTTGTGCTATCCTGATGAGTGTTTTAATTTTTTATTAATTTCTGTGTGCTAAAGGTAAGTTGATTTTCATAATAAAGCTATATTCACAGGCTGTATTCATAAAAGTAATTGCTTACATATTCAACAGGCTTAGCAGTTTTAGAATTGTTGTCAAAGTATGGTCTAAATAAACTGTAACTCCCTAATAACCAAACATAGTGAAGTGTTTTGGAGAATATAAAGTTGTAGAATATGTAACAGGAAAAGCAAAATTAAAAATCCTTGCTGGGAGTGGAGTTCCATCTCTCCTGATCCCACAGATCACTCTGCTTGCAGAACCTGTGCACTTCAACTGAGGGACACAGAGAGAGCTCTGATTCCTCTGCAGCCCCAGGGATGTCACAGGAAACCTTCCCTGTGGAAGGGTGGAAAGAATATTCCTTAACAATATTTACAGCAGCCCCAACTGGAGCAGTTACCAAAGTGTGAAAGGGCTTGGCCAGAGCCACGTGCCACAGTTGGGTGCTGCAGCTTCAGGCACTGCTCATGTTTGTGACAGGGATCCAGAACTGTGATTTCCCTCCTATAGTTCATAAATGAGGGGTTTCTTAGTTTCTCTGCTGTGTTCTCAGCTCAGGAATTCAATGGATTCTTGTTCATGTTACTACTGGCAGACAGGAAAGCACAAGAGCCTCTTGCATTGATCGGTTCTTCTCTGAAATCCAGAATATTCCATGTCACTTTCCACTCTGTGTGTGTGTGTTTGCAAATAGGACACCAGATCACACAGACTGCCATGCTATCTCAAATGGGAAATATTTTAGGATGTGGCGTGTTGGGGGTGCACAGTGAAGCACCACAGACACATTCTGTGTCTCACAGATATTTTGAGTAGCACGCAGTTTGAGCAGAAGATGACGAAGTTGAATTTCCAGGCTGTTGGGGGCTGTCTGGAGCCTGGAGTGTGAGTGGGCTCCATCCCTGTGTGTGGCACAGGAGGGGAGGTTTGTCTGGGGGTGTCTGTCGGGGCAGCCACTCCCTGACCCCAGGAAAACCTTGGGGAGTCGCAGACAAAGTGCCTGGAGCAGCTGAGGGGGAAATGCCCATTTCAGAGTGTGGTGGTGTCATCAGGGCTGCGCACAAGGAGGGGCCCTGTGGTTGAAGTGGCCCCAAGAGCAGCAGGACAGCTCCTGAGCCCTGAGCCTCAGGGTCACAGCTCCCCCGGGCTCCTGGGGCTTCTCTTGTTCCTAAGGGAAGAGCTGGGGGAGCTGCTGGGCAAGCCAAGATGCCAAAAGAGCCTCTTGTAAACTCCCCAGGGGTCTGAGCTGTTCTGGCTCTGGTTGAGCCCCCAAGAGCTGCATCTGTACCTCTCTACACTCAGTTTACTGATTTTGCTTTGCTCTGGGTGCCTGCAATACTTCAGGATTGGATTCTTTCCTTTGGCTGAAATAAGGACAAAATGGGCTTTAACACTTGTCACAGAACAGAGGTTTTCCTTCCAGATTTCCAAATGGTGGAGGATAGACTGGAATAAAACATCCATGTGGATGTTTGGGTGGCTGTGGGAGGGGAGCAGGACCAGGACTGAGATATTTTGCAGCATGGCAGGGTTGGATCCATCCCTTCCAGAAGAGCAGAGCCTGATAGGGAGGAAAGACAGAGCTTTTACATCTTGAGGACTTCTCTGGTTACTGGCCCCTCTAAATGCAGTGTAATTGCCTGAAGCATTTCCTCTGGATGTCTTCTTGTCCTTGATAATCCTTGTGTCTGATCTTGCCCATTGTTCCTACAGCACAGATATGCAGATGTTAATGTCAGTCTGCCTACATTATTCTAATTAAAAAAAAAATAATCACTCTTCTTACGTGGCTCCCTCATTTGCCATGTCCAGCTTCGTTGTTTTCTTCATTTTAGTAACAGGCTCCCCATCAGCCAATGCAACAAGATTCACCCAGCATTGCATTTTCTCATTTCTGCCCCCTCTCCAGGCTGCTGTCAAGGTGCAGTGCAGGCAGTGGGGTCCAGGCTGGCTCTGGTTAGATGGATGGGTCTCCGTTGTGGCTGCAGAGCTGGCAGCTCTGTCTGGAGGGGGTATTACACAGTGATGATTGGTAACTTCCTGCAGACTCAGACGAGCCATCTGTGTTTCCACTCCTTGAAATGTGCTGTTATTTTCATCACCCATTTGGTTTGTGTCAGCTCGGTTTACATGGTCATTTTCACATAATAAACAGGTAGTTAAATTAGGCACACTGCATTTCCCAGTGTGGAGGGGATTTTTTTGACCTCTTGGCACAGCCAGCTCCATCTCCTCTCAGACCTGAGGAACTTGTGAAGGAGCTGCAAGTGAAGCCTTAACCTTTTGAAATGTTTGTAGGTACTTTGCACCTTGGGGGAATGGGAATATTTGGGTTGCATCTGGGTTAGTGCTGTGCTGAGAAGGATGAGGTGGTGTGTGTGGGATGGCCACCCTGGGGAGGGCTGAGGAGGCACAGGAACCCTGCCCCGAGTGCATCCTGGAGTGAGCACTGTCCAGTTTATGTTAACTTAACTTAGGAGAAAGTGTTTTCCTTTTTGTATTGGTGTAGGAAATGTGGGAATCAGCGTGGTGCCCCTGCCTGCTGTGAGGGCAGAGCTGAAATCCTGTGTGTCACAGAGGGATGGTCATCAAAGGCTCAGTCCTTCAAACAATGCCTGGGATGAAGTGACAGGAACAAAAAAAGGGCTTTATCTCCTACTAATGTACAAGTCTTTATCATCAGTGTATCTTAACAAGACAGCTGGGACTTATCTGGGGAATAGGTTCTCAGGAAGTTTTGGGGTCTGAAGCATTAGTTTGCTGTGTGGAGAGAAGCTGAAATCTGTTGCATGATTGAAGCCAATGGTTCAGCAAACTGTTCATATGGAATGAAGCTGAAAGAGTGGTTGGATCTTATCATAGTTATCTGTGCAACCCTAGTCCTCCTTCCCCTCATTTAGGTTGTCCTCAGAAAAGGTTAGAAAACTACTCTGCCTTCATGGCAGTTTTTCTCTGCTCAGTCTGTAGAATGGCTGTTCTTAATTTCAAACAAAACCCAACATTTTTGGGGCTGCTTCATTTTGTCTTCAAGGTATTGTAAAGGGTGGCTCATGGAGGAAATGATCCTGTCTCTAGAGCTTAGTGAGATGGTGGTGCAGGGCACAGAGCAGCTGTGTTTTGGAGCAGTTTTTGAGGCAGTGGGATCTCTGAGTGCCCATGGCTGTGTCCTGCAGCTGGAGCTGGCAGTCCTGGGAGGGTCAGGGTGATGGCACGAGCCTGTTGGAACATCCCTGCTGGCTTTTTGAGCTGTGGTGGCCTGGCAGGGGACAGCTGGGGGCCAGCAGAGGGATCCCAGTGAGGATTTAGGGCTGGAGGGGACAGCAGAGGGATCCCAGTGAGGATTTAGGGCTGGAGGGGTCAGCAGAGGGATCCCAGTGAGGATTTGGGGCTGGGGGACAGGAGAGGGATCACAGTGAGGATTTAGGGCTGGGGGCCAGCAGAGGGATCCCAGTGAGGATTTGGGGCTGGGGGTCAGCAGAGGGATCCCAGTGAGGATTTGGGGCTGGGGGACAGCAGAGGGATCCCAGTGAGGATTTAGGGGTGGGGGACAGCAGAGGGATCCCAGTGAGGATTTGGGGCTGGGAGAGTCAGCAGAGGGATCCCAGTGAGGATTTAGGGGTGGGGGTCAG